ATTTCCAGTGATTGAACTAGAGAAAGATACGCTGGTAGGAGAGTTTGTCTTGTCGACAGATCGACAGAGTGCTTCGACAACGGACAAAGGCAGAACTAATTCTTCCTTCCAGATAAGACTTTCGGATTTTAACCCCGGAGGGTTAGCCACCCTGGATAACCCAAGAAAGTCAGGGCATCATTGAGGCCTGTCTGTCCTGTTGCCGCTGTGGTCCTTCAGTCTTGTCGACAGATCGACAGAGTGCTTCGACAACGGACAAAGGCAGAACTAATTCTTCCTTCCAGATAAGACTTTCGGATTTTAACCCCGGAGGGTTAGCCACCCTGGATAACCCAAGAAAGTCAGGGCATCATTGAGGCCTGTCTGTCCTGTTGCCGCTGTGGTCCTTCAGTCTTGTCCCCCAGGATGCGACCCACCAACTAATACTCAGGTACCTACTTACTGCTAGGTGAACGGGGACAGCAGGTGTAAGGAAACATGCCCAATGTTTCCGCCCGGCCGGGGATCGAACCACGGACACTCGGTGTGTGAGGCGAGAGTGTTGCCTACCAGGCCACTCTTTTTCAATGTATAACTACGGACAGGATGACCTTAGAATTAGCTGGAAAATAAAATATGAGATACTAAATTTGTTGGGTAACCCTAAGTTAGGTCAGAATAGCTAATCTTCATAACAATGATCATGACTATCACAATTATCATAATTTTGATAATTCTTAACTTAATTAAACAAAAAGAATTATGAAAAAAATGGAGAACATGAGGAAATTCTTCGTGTTTGTTAATGTATGACCAGGCCTCGTGGTGGACCAGGACCTGATCAACCAGGCTGTTTCCGCAGGCAGCAAGCAAACCGAAGTACGAACCACAGCCCGGCTGAGCAGATACTGACAAAGTTATTGACGAGGTGGGCAAAAAATGCGTAATAACTGCAGGAAAATATGCCCTGACGAAGGAATTACTCATGTGATAACCAGGTTACTAAGACACTGCCTGCTGCACAGGCGTAGAGTTTCGAAGATGGTGCACACCTGTACAGTGTCCCATAAATAATATATATTTTATATATATAATGAGTACTTTGATAAAGAGTGTGCAGGTTCGAATCCTGTGGCAAAGCAACTAAAGGGTAAGTTGAGTGATAATTCTATCATTCAACAACTCACTTTTTCATCTTGTATCGTTGAGCTAATCTACCTGGATTTCCTACTCATTTCTAAAATATTGCAAGCTCCTGATGACGTTGGTTGCAACTTGAAAGGCCTGAGTTACGAAATGAGGTACCAAATTCACAAGGATGAATCATATATAACTACGATAAAACTGGAAACAATGGATGTAATATAATTTCACGTATAGAAACGTAGAGGATAAGGCTAAAGAGGTCTTTGTGGCATTTATGGATTTGGAAAAGGCGTATGACAGGGTGGATAGGGGAGCAATGTGGCAGATGTTGCAGGTGTATGGTGTAGGAGGTAGGTTACTGAAAGCAGTGAAGAGTTTTTACGAGGATAGTGAGGCTCAAGTTAGAGTATGTAGGAAAGAGGGAAATTATTTCCCAGTAAAAGTAGGCCTTAGACAAGGATGTGTGATGTCACCGTGGTTGTTTAATATATTTATAGATGGGGTTGTAAGAGAAGTAAATGCGAGGGTCTTGACAAGAGGCGTGGAGTTAAAAGATAAAGAATCAAACACAAAGTGGGAGTTGTCACAGCTGCTCTTTGCTGATGACACTGTGCTCTTGGGAGATTCTGAAGAGAAGTTGCAGAGATTGGTGGATGAATTTGGTAGGGTGTGCAAAAGAAGAAAATTAAAGGTGAATACAGGAAAGAGTAAGGTTATGAGGATAACAAAAAGATTAGGTGATGAAAGATTGAATATCAGATTGGAGGGAGAGAGTATGGAGGAGGTGAATGTATTCAGATATTTGGGAGTGGACGTGTCAGCGGATGGGTCTATGAAAGATGAGGTGAATCATAGAATTGATGAGGGGAAAAGAGTGAGTGGTGTACTTAGGAGTCTGTGGAGACAAAGAACTTTGTCCTTGGAGGCAAAGAGGGGAATGTATGAGAGTATAGTTTTACCAACGTTCTTATATGGGTGTGAAGCATGGGTGATGAATGTTGCAGCGAGGAGAAGGCTGGAGGCAGTGGAGATGTCATGTCTGAGGGCAATGTGTGGTGTGAATATAATGCAGAGAATTCGTAGTTTGGAAGTTAGGAGGAGGTGCGGGATTACCAAAACTGTTGTCCAGAGGGCTGAGGAAGGGCTGTTGAGGTGGTTCGGACATGTAGAGAGAATGGAGCGAAAACAGAATGACTTCAAGAGTGTATCAGTCTGTAGTGGAAGGAAGGCGGGGTAGGGGTCGGCCTAGGAAAGGTTGGAGAGAGGGGGTAAAGGAGGTTTTGTGTGCGAGGGGCTTGGACTTCCAGCAGGCATGCGTGAGCGTGTTTGATAGGAGTGAATGGAGACAAATGGTTTTTAATACTTGACGTGCTGTTGGAGTGTGAGCAAAGTAACATTTATGAAGGGATTCAGGGAAACCGGCAGGCCGGACTTGAGTCCTGGAGATGGGAAGTACAGTGCCTGCACTCTGAAGGAGGGGTGTTAATGTTGCAGTTTAAAAACAGTAGTGTAAAGCACCCTTCTGGCAAGACAGTGATGGAGTGAATGATGGTGAAAGTTTTTCTTTTTCGGGCCACCCTGCCTTGGTGGGAATCGGCCAGTGTGATAATAAAAAAAATAAAAAATAAACGTAGAGGAGAGAAACAATCTGTAGAGCAGTATTACTGAAGTAACTTATTTGGAAAGCTGTAGGAGTGAGAATGGATGTGTGGGTTAGACCTGCCTTGTATGGACCAATAGGCCTACTGCAGTGCCCTTTTATAGTGATCATGTGAAGCCTCGCGGCCAGGATCTACCTGGGAAACAAGGAGAGTCGTCACACTACCTACTTCCTCCACTCGTCTATACAATATAAAAATTCGACTTTCTGCTGGACATGTCAAGTTCTCTCACTTGTGGAAATATAAACACATAAGCAGTATTGCGTGATTATTGATTACGTTTCGCCCACAAAGTGGACTTTATCAAGTCACAAACAGATCTACCTGGGTGAAAGGTCCGCTTGTGCTTGAACATGAAAATGGTATACAATACCGACAGGTTGGTAGGTAAGACACAAAAGCAACAGTTAGGCAACTTTATTCCGAAACGTTTCGCTTACACAGTAGGCTTCTTCAGTCGAATACAGAAAGTAGGCAGGAACAGTAGAGATGTGAAGACGATGTAATCAGATTACATCGTCTTCACATCTCTACTGTTCCTGCCTACTTTCTGTATTCGACTGAAGAAGCCTACTGTGTAGGCGAAACGTTTCGGAACAAAGTTGCCTAACTGTTGCCTATGTGTCTTACCTACGCTTGTGCTTATCCTTGAAGCCTATGTGAAAACTTATTAATATACAACGTCTAGATTAATTAACTAGACAATCACTACCGATTGCAGTTAGTGTTGGTCAACCATACTTGTGGTTGCTCCCGGACATTTCACCGAACGGACGAAATGGCATTCATCACCTAACCTAACCTAATTTTCCCTTCGGTCTGTTGGCTGTTCGGCCAAAAGGCTGCTGGCGCAATGTCCGTTCGGCCAATTGTCCGTCGGTCATCTGTCCGGCCAGGCTTGTGGTTGAGCTGGGCCAGTCTGGATGCTTACATGTGTACAGTAAGTTTCCAACAAAGCCTTTAGATACAGAGCCGTTTGAAGGGCAGCATAAACACATCTCTCTCCCTCTCTCTCTGTCTCTCACTAATGAATATAAAATAATAAGGTGTTAGGTAGGTCGCTGGACTGCTAGCCATGTTTCTCTTAACGCCGGGCACACCAGTGGACCTCAAGCAAGAACTTCAACATTTTTAAATATCGTCTTGTCACGATTGTGACCAGATCTACCTGGAGTTCATTACCTTTGTAACTTTCTCAGCTATCAAGATTTCGGGACCCAGTCCCTGGACCTATTATGTACCTCTGTAATCTTTTGACTACCGCCCACAAGATTGGTATGGAGTGCATAATTAAGATATTAAACTATGTTCTGGCCTCACCAGCGATACTGTATTAATGCACCTTGCAAATATATATATATATATATATATATATATATATATATATATATATATATATATATATATATATATATATAATATATATATATATATATATATAATATATATATATATATATATATAATATATATATATATATATATATATATTGCATTCAACCTGTTTATAAAATATTGACTTTTTACGGATTATTTTACTAGTAAATCTGTCTTTTTCAGTGCCAATATTTTTTTTTTGTGGCAACAAAGGCACAAATCCAGTGCAAAGAGTTAAATCCATTTTTGATATTGTTTCTCTCAGGAGGTGATGATTTTTGTGATTTGTTTTCTTGTGACTGTTCTAACGTCTGAAATGAATGCTACACTCGCCTTGATGTTAGTTTTAAGCTGCAGGACATGAAAGCTGACAGTTTTTGGCTGAGTTTGGAGTCTGCTCGTAAGTTCAGGAGTGATTTTTTAAGTGTTAGGATGAATTTATAAGTGTTAAAGTGAGTTTGTAAGTGCTGCAGTGAATCTGTAAGTGTTACAGTGAGTTTGCAAGTGCTGGACTGAGTTTGCAAGTGCTGGCAGAAAGATTGTAAGTATTAGAGCGAGTCAGAGGTGCCAGAATGAGTTTAGAGTTCCAGTGCTAGCTCCAAGTGTTATCAGTAGGTGTTTGAAGTGTGTCAGTAGGTGTATAAAGTGTGTGTCAGTAGGTGTATAAAGTGTGTGTCAGTAGGTGTATGAAGTGTGTGTCAGTAGGTGTATAAAAGTGTGTGTCAGTAGGTGTATGAAGTGTGTGTCAGTAGGTGTATAAAGTGTGTGTCAGTAGGTGTATAAAGTGTGTGTCAGTAGGTGTATGAAGTATGTGTCAGTAGGTGTATGAAGTGTGTCAGTGAGGTGGGATAAGTGAGTGCCTCATAGGGTCCCGGGGGACGGAGAGGTCAATGCCAGGACTATGGCACTGGTATGGCAGCGAGTGTTGGCGGATTAGAGAGAAAATGAGGGAGGGAAGGAGGAAGAAAGGAAAGGAGGGAGGGTGAAGGATGAAGGAAGGAGTGACATAGAAGGAAGAGTATATGAATTCTTAGTATGGCATCGCCTGGTTGTGTGGGGAGGCTGATGAGTGATGATGACAGCTATGTGTGTGTGTGTGTGTGTGTGTGTGTGTATCAGGGATAGGGGAGGGAAGGGGAGACTATACCAGACAACGTGGGGGCAAAAGTAGCGACGCTGGATGTAAGAGGCGCGGAGGGGCAGTGTGTGGGCAGGCGTCGTGCCCAGAGGTCGTGGTTGGGTAGTGGTGGTGGAGGTGGTAGTGGTGGTGACTGGTATACCTGGCAAACACACAGACCGACAAATACACGCAGCTGCCCGTAGAGCGAAAAACTTCGTCGATCTTCCGGGGCGGGGCATGATGATGTTTACTCTCACTGCGCGTTTAATGTAAGAGCTAAATATATTTATGTACTCTCTGTCTGATGCAGAACTTACACATTCGTTTTTTAATGTACGAAGATAGAGTGAGACGTTCTCGTATAGTCTTTATATGCTATTTATGATGTACTGACATTGTGATTGGTCATGTGGACTGTGTATCGAATTGTTATTTTGTGATAATCTCAGGTTTTCACGTTGGCTGGCCAGTGATTTGATTATTGAATTTTAGTGAGTAAATACTTCTGTGGTCGTCAGAATGAGATCAAGTTTAGTTATAGCGTTGTTAGCAGCTACATGTGATATGTTGATGTATAGTGTGGTGAGTCAAGACGACTACTGGTACGACTATAGCGGCGATGACCACGACGGGTACGATTACTATTCCGAGTACGACCAGAATTTCATCTCCGGGAAGACTAACGACCCCGGGTGGTCCTCTCCCACGCTCTTGGCACCAGCGAGGGCAGTCTTCTCGACGGCGTCACCTGAAGGAGTTCTCCCTGACTCTCTTCCAGAGGGCGACAGCTCCTTGATGCCTGGTTTGACACAAGACGCTTCGTCAGGATTCACCTCTTCGTCTCCATCAACGTCAGTGTTCCCCCTAAGACAGTTTCCTCTACACACATCCCTCTTGGCCAACTCCCAACAAAATCTCAACAGCAGGAGTGATCAGACTGAAGGAATTGACACTCAGGGCGGTGATGTCGGATTGGATCGGTTCAGTTTCGAGGATTCGAGAGGTTCTGTAGGTGGAAGAGAGAAAATTGGAGGTTCAGAACCCCCCGAAACCGGAATCACAGGTCATATAGATGTAAGTGAACAACGTGAAAAGTCTGATTTGTCTGCTAGCAATGCTTTCCCCACCGACGGCACCGGGCTTCTTGCACCCTCAAGTAGGCACCCTGATGAGAATGACAACTATTACGAGGAAGATGAGTTCATTGGAGGGTCGTTTGAAGCCACTTATGATGATCGAAATCTTTACGAAGACTTTATTGAAGAGAAGGATATCATTCTTGTGAATCGCTTGTTAGAGGTTCCCTACGGGAGAGTCAAGTACATGGACTCGGAGAATGACCTTAAAATTAAGGTTTTGCCAGGTCATCGTTGCCAAGTAATGGTCATCAATAATGAACCCGTGACTCAAAGACCGGGAAAACTAATGCCATCAAACTTTTCCTGTAAGTTTGGTCTTCACGAAGTGCAATACACACACCTGGGTGGTCAGTACCCGTCAGAGGACACCGTCAAACTCTTGATGCGCTACGACACTCGCCGAGACACCTTTATCATCCCCTTTACCCTCTCCACTAAGATACTTTACGACATGCAGCTGGAGATGGTGACAAAGTTGGTTCCTCTCAGCGTGGACAAGCTCTTGGGCACAAGTAACCAGATCGACAGAAGCAATACAGTGTTTGCCTTCGACGAGTCCCGTCATGACTGCAAGATCACCCTCCTTCACAAGCACTCTGAACTGCCAAGGTATGGGACTGTTGTTTCTGCCATAGACACTCCTGTAGATTACATGCTTCCATGTTATAAGTTTCTGGAGTCAGGAATTAGGTATCAGCACACAGTGGAATCTTCAACCAAACACGACCAAATTCCTGCCGTAGTGGAGCTGTATGATAGGGATTCAATGACACTGCTCAAGCAGGAATATTTCCAGTTTCCCGTGCGCATCCACCCCGGGAGAGACAACACTCCTCCAAGCGTATCCTTCGAGTCTTTGCTCCTCCTGGATGTGAATCAGTTTGTCATGACTGCCCTGACAGGGTCAGTAGTAACCGTTGTGGACGGTGAAACCCCACCAGAACGATTGGTTTTCAACGTTACCAAAGCGTTGGATTATGGAGAGGGTATTCTCGTCAGCACTGATGACCAGAACCTACCCGTCACCTCATTCCACCAGAGAGATATCACTGACTTGAAGATCTTATACAAACCACCGGCGGAGGATTCCAACTCAAAGCGAACTTTTGATATTGAGTTTGAAGTTCTCGACGATGAAGGCTTAGCCTCACTACCATTTAAAGTTATGATTGTAGTAAACCCGAAGAGGACCAGGGCTCCCATTACCACCAAGAATGCAGGACTGAAACTATACGAGGGACAATCTCGGCGTCTCAGCTCTGCACAAAACCTTGAAATCGCAGACGAAGATAATTTAGGAGATGTGACGCTGACAGTCACAGGTGGGCTGAGACATGGGCGTCTCTTGTTAATGGGCACTCCAACCAAGATCTTCTCCCCGGCTGATCTAGACACAGGAGTGGTAGTCTACCAACATGACAACACAGACACTTACGCTGATAACGTCCTCTTGAGAATGAGCGACAACCAGCACGAAGTCGAGTTTCTGTTTCCCATTACCATCTTTCCCGAGAACGATGAGCCTCCAATCGCCCACATCAACACCGGATTCAGAGTGAGAAAGAATGAGGTGGTTCAGATCACGCCATTCATTCTGAGCGCAACAGACGTTGACAGTGATGATGCAAACATTACTTTTATTATCCAGGATCCTGTCCCACAGTTAGGAACACTGATCCTACGTCGTTCTTCCCTCCCGCCCAACCCAGAGCAGTGGCAATACATCAGTGATCAGTACGAGAAGTCAATAATAAAGTGGACACAGAGAGACATAACTGACGGCTTCCTGCATTACATTCATCTGGGGCAACATCAGACAATGCCAGCGACAGACAGAATATATTTCAGACTCACTGATAACGCTGAACCTCCAAATGAATCTGTAACCATAGAAATAATCGTTGAGGTTTTGCCAGTGGATGATATTCCTCCTGAGTTGAACAGTGGGTGCTCCCTGTTGCTCGTAGTCCACGAACACAAGCTAACGCCTCTCACCAGAGACAATCTGCATTACATGGACCTCGACTCTAGGGACACGTCACTGGTATATCACATTCATCTTCTTCACAACGTCGATATTAATGACCTGATGTCTCCAGGAAGCATCGTTCTGACTGATGCCCCAGAAACTACTGTTGTATCTTTTACTCAAGCTCAGATCAACCATCACAAGATCTCCTATAAACCACCGGATCATGAACTTGGGATCGTTCCAAGAATTGTCCAGTTTCAGTTTCAGGTGAGTGACGAGGCCGGAAATCACCTTTCGGGACAGACATTTACCATTTTCTTGACACCAGTTGATAACCAGCCACCAGAGGTACATAACAGAGGCCTGAAGGAAGTACGAGAGAGGAGTGAAGTGGTCATTACCACACATCATTTAGACGTCTCTGACCCTGACACGAATGTAGATAACTTGGTGTTGAGAGTAATACAAGTTCCCAGCTACGGCAGTCTACTGTACAATACCCTCAGTATGACAGTGGGAAACGAGTTCACACGTAAAGATATCGTCAACAAATCCATCAGATACTTGAACAATGGTAAAGACGAGATGGACAAAGATAGCTTTAAGTTAGAAGTTACTGATGGGATTCACACTTTGTCCATCAACTTCTTTATTGAAATTGAAGCTATAGACGACGAGCCGCCCCAGCTAGATCGAGAGCAAAACACTGTGGGTGCCATGGTCAAGGTCAAGGAGGGTCAGTGGACTTTCATCACCAGTAAGGTTCTTAGAGCTACCGACCCAGATTCTCAGCCAAACAGACTCACATTCATCGTGCAAGATGCACCGAGTTATGGGCGAATTCTGCTCAGTGGAGTTCCCACTTCGAGTTTCACCCAAATGTCAATAGAGAAAAAAGAGGTCACCTACAACCATGACGGAGGAGACATCGGAAAGTATTCACTCACAGATAATTTTACCCTCATTCTCTCTGACATGTCAGATGACTATACTTACGGCGGGAACAGACTCGAAGAAGTTATGATCATCGTCACGGTAGAACCAATTGATAACATTCCTCCCCAGGTGTTTATACACTCTGACATCACCGTCGAGGAGACATCAAAGTCAGTGATAACAGTCATGCAACTCATGCTCAGTGACACAGACACAGATGACGAGAAACTCACTTGTATTATCACCAAGCAGCCAACGAGTGGCTATGTAGAGAATACGTCTCCAGCACAAGGTCACCAGATGTCAAGGAAAGGCATCCCCATCACATCCTTCAGCCTGACCGATATAACGTCAGCTCATCTTAACTACGTTCAGAGTGTTTACACTAAGGTGGAGCCAAGAAAGGATCACCTGGTGTTCTACTGTACGGATGGCATCAACAGGTCGCCCGAAGCCACACTAAACATCTTCATATATCCAAACAATGATGAAATGCCTGAATTATTTCTGAAAGAATTTGTTGTCATGGAAGGAATGGATCTGATCATGGAGCCTTCGGTTATTGAAGCTACTGACAGAGACAGCTCTAACGACCAGCTTGTCTTCAGGGTCTCTAGAAAGCCTAAGCATGGTCGAGTGTTGCACCAAGGGCCCTCAGGGTTCAGGGTTATAGATCAATTTACCATGGAAGACCTGAAAATCTCATCCAAGATTGTGTACAGCCATGACGACAGTGAAACCACGAAAGATGACTTTGAATTGCAGCTCACAGATGGCAACCCAGAGCACCTGGTCACAAGAGAAGTCAAAGTCAGGATTCTGCCAGAGGACGATGAGGCACCTAGGCTCACCTTCAACACTGGCATCCAGGTTGACATTCAAGAAGCAACTATAATCACCAATAAGGAGTTGATGGCTCAGGATCTAGATTCAGATGACAAAAATCTCACATATATCATCCGTGAAACTCCTAGGTTCGGTGTGATCGAGTTCCTAGAACTCACTACATTACTGCTCTTAAATGACCTCAAGGTTGGGATGAATTTCAGCCAGAGGAACATTGACGATGGTGTGATTCAGTACCGACACACAGGACTTCCCGGTGTGAGGGACTCACTTAAGTTTGATCTGACGGATGGTAAAAACACAAACTCGGACAGAATTTTCTACATCAACATTAAAGGTGAGGACAATATATATCCCATCATTATAAACAAAGGAGTTGAACTTCCCGAGGGAGGAAGAGTGGCTCTGACGACAGCCATTCTCAGTACCAGTGATGTAAACAGTGCTGACGAACTTCTCAATTTCACAGTCACAAGAATGCCTTCTAAGGGTCACTTAGAACTCGCCGAAATGCCAGGCTTCCCCATAACTAGCTTCACACAGCTTCAACTAGCAGGGAAAAGAGTTTTTTACATTCATGATTCTACAGATGAGATAAAGATGGATTCATTTGAGTTTGTGGTTACGGACGGCTTCAACTCTGTCTTTAGGACTTTCCGAATTTCAATCAGCGACGTCGACAACAAATATCCTGTACTGTTTGTTGGAGAGTTGAGGGTTCAGGAAGGATCTTCGAAACTCATCACACCCTTTGAGCTCAAACTGGAAGACCAAGACACAACACCAGACCTTTTAAGATTTACTATAACTCGCGTCCCATTGCATGGCAAAGTCCTTCACAACAAGACTCGACTCACACGCCAGTTCACCCAGTCAGACTTGGATTCAAACCTCATCACATACCACCACGATGGATCGGAGACTCTGGCTGATCGGATTCACTTCATCGCAACCGACGGCACTCACGCTGAATTCTACGTTTATCCTGACACCGACTACCTCACCCGGAAGCCCCAACAACTCGACGTGAGGGTTGAACCAGTGGACAACGGTGTTCCCAAGCTGACGCTGAATAAGGGTGCTTCTTTCTTGGCTTCCCTGGACAGTGACGATGATGGTCCCCTGGGGTTTGTGTTGTCTCCTCGCGTGTTAGTAGTTGAGGACCGGGATTCCCCACCAGAGTCCCTGACATACTGGGTGGAAACATTGCCCCGGTATGGCCAGCTGGTGGCTGTTCCATCTTACAATACATCACTAACCTCTTTCACACAAGGTAAGTCACTCTAGTCAACCCAATGGTTTCCTTTTTTTCATCAGTAATGTCTGTTTTGAAGTTTGTGCTGTGTTGAAATCCCTAACAATATTGATTTTCTGTTTATTATTTATTATGATTAATTTTTTTTTTTAATTTATTTTTAGTTTCTGTTAGAGTCACAGTTTCTGAGTAATTCTCATTCCCCTGTGTGTTGGTTTCAGGCGTGTATATACACTGAGAGATTCACACTTTCTGGTGTATATACACTGAGAGATACACACTTCTTGGTGCATATACACTGAGAGATACACACTTCTTGGTGCATATACACTGAGAGATACACACTTCTTGGTGCATATACACTGAGAGATATACATTTCTTGGTGTGTATACACTCGCCGCGAGTTCAACCCCACCCTTGGTGTGGTTTGTTTACAATCCTGTCATTACGATTTCGCGAGTCCACACACACACACACACACACACACACACACACACACACACACACACACACACACACACACACACACACACACACACACACACACACACACACACACACACACACACACACACACAAACACACACACTGCCATACCTTATAAGCTCATATTAATCACTTATTTCACCCCCAAAATAAACCTGACGCCCAAGGAAATCCATAAATTTAACCTGCCTGTGTTTGGTAACTTCTAGACATATTTAGGTGTTTGTGTGCTGACCCAAGCTACACACGCATGAACACACACACAAACACACTCGACCCCTGCAACCATAAATAGGTGAATACACACACACACACACACACACACACACACACACACACAGTTGGGATAAAGAGACGAGGCCAGGTGCTATAGCTTGACCCTTAACAAAATGCAACAGAGTGACAATTAGATGACTTCTACCAACAATAACATTACTCTCCACTGCTCCATTACAGTTATCAGTCAGCTGCTCCTCCTGCACTTACCAGTCAACTCACAAGACTGGTATGGAAGAGTGGTACAATGTGCAGACCAAACCTTAATTGAAAGGCGATGTTTTGCCCCAGACAGGACGAAATGTGGGGATTAAATAGTGGTCTGCCCGATACATAAATTCTAGCAGACTCTTCAGTAAGTTTTACTTCGGGGAAAGGAAGAGAGGCAGGATGAAATGAGGAAGGAAGAGGAGAGAAGGGAAGAAGAAAGCAAAGAGGAAAAAGAGAGTACCATGATTCAAGCATGGTTCTACTAATGGTATGGTGGTGCTGGTAATGGGGGAAAATGGTGCCTTTGTAGGGAGTATGATAGAGACTCTAATAGTGTGGTGAGAGAGAAAGAGAGAGAGAGAGAGAGAGAGAGAGAGAGAAGAGAGAGAGAGAGAGAGAGGAGAGAGAGAGAGAGAGAGAGAGAGAGAGAGAGAGAGAGAGAGAGAGAGAGAGAGAGAGAGAGAAATCAGACCACACACACCTCACTGACTCACAAGAATATACTCACGCCACATTAGCCAAACTTCAGTCAGGAGTCAACCCACATTATCCCAGTGTTAAATGAGAGAGAGAGAGATTAATCCGACTAACTATATTAAACAGACGAGAATTTGCCACAGAGAAGTGAGAGAGGTGAAGCGTCAAACTGATCAATGATCTACCTCCCACACCTAAGTTTTGTGCCAAGGTTTCAGCTTGTTGCTATGTTTAGTATGACTTACGAGAAACCTCACTCTGAAGCGACCTGCCAAGTGTGTAACTCCTGTCTGCGAGGGCTCCTTGTATAGGTAAGTTCCTTACACCTGTTCCCTGTACACTTGGCAGTAAATAGATACCTGGGTGTTAATAGACTGTTGTGATTGGCATCTTGGGCAGGGTGAGACGTATGGGCAAATGAAAGAGAGAGAGAGAGAGAGAGAGAGAGAGAGAGAGAGAGAGAGAGAGAGAGAGAGAGAGAGAGAGAGAGAGAGAGAGAGAGAGAGAGAGAGAGAGGAGAGGAGGAGAGAGGAGAGAGAGAGAGAGAGAGAGAGAGAGAGAGAGAGAGAGAGAGAGAGAGAGAGAGAGAGAGAGAGAGAGAGAGAGGTATATCTACCTGGGCAAGGTAGAGAGAAATCAGGTGAATACCAAGTCGTGCTAATCTGCAGGTGGGTTCCGTCAGCTCCAGAACCCGTCAGACCTAGGGAAGGAAAACGTGATCTCTTCTTTGTTTTTATATGGAGTGGGAAACTGGCGTGGGATGTTTACCGCTGGTATATAGCACAAATAAGCCGGCAGGCGGGTTATCACGGGTATATAGATCAGATAAGCCAGCGTGACACCTGATAGACACTTGCATCAAGACACTTTTCTGTTTCCTGACGAACGTCACCGCCGACCCGGCTAAGTTGACTTCATTTAGAGGATCTCAAAACCACCACAAGCTGAACTGGGTTAGAAGTGGCCACTAACTGCAACCCTGCAAGTCTTCCCAGAGGCATTCCCATAACACAATACGAATCAGAGGTACTGTAAATGCTTTACCATTGCATCCCTATGTATTACTCACATAAGTACACAAACACACATACAATGAGGTAGAGTGAGCCAAAACAGTAAACACGTTTACCATTACAGAAATGTTTATTCTAAATACAGAGGTTACAGTGCTTAGTTTACAGTATTTCAGAAGTCTTATGTAAGCGAAGCTTTGGGTAAGAATTTAGCAATGGAGCCTTACGTAGACCAGTGATTACATAGTCTTGTAAATGCCTAGTGCGAGGAAATCTCTAATTAAAATTTTAACTTATTGGGTAGGCGAAGATGAAGCAAGAGATAGAGATCAACTAAGAGGCGTGAGAACACACACACACACACACACACACACACACACACACACACACACACACACACACACACACACACACACACACACACACACACGGGCGCCTGGCAAACCTGAGAATAGCGTTCCGATACCTTAACAAGGAATCGTTCAAGACACTGTAAACTGAGTATGTTAGGCCCATACTGGAGTATGCAGTCTGGAACCCACACCTGGTCAAGCACGTCAAGAAGTTAGAGAAAGTACAAAGGTTTGCAACAAGGCTAGTCCCAGAGCTCAGGGGAATGTCGTACGAGGAAAGGTTAAGGGAAATCGGACTGACGACACTGGAGGACAGAAGGGTCAGGGGAGACATGATAACGACTTACAAGATACTGCGGGGAATAGACAAGGTGGACAGAGACAGGATGTTCCAGAGAAGGGACACAGAAACAAAGGGTCACAACCGGAAGCTGAAGACTCAGACGAGTCACAGGGACGTTAGGAAGTATTTCTTCAGTCATAGAGTCGTCAGGAAGTGGAATAGCCTAGCAAGTGAAGTAGTGGAGGCAGGAACCATACATAGTTTTAAGAAGAGGTATGACAAAGCTCAGGAAGCAGAGAGGGAGAGGACCTAGTAGCGATCAGTGAAGAGGCGGGACCAGGAGCTGAGACTCGACCCCTGCAACCACAATTAGGTGAGTACAATTAGGTGAGTACACACACACACACACACACAGATCGTGCTCTGCCGTGAACACGGAGAACTTAAGCTGCGTGTGACGCCCTGGGTCCCCGTCTCTATGCTGCGTGTGACGCCCTGGGTCCCCGTCTCTATGCAGTCAACTGTTGCCTGTTTTACATACGTAACAAGGATCAAGTAACAAAATAACAGATAAACGTAACTTTAACCATTCCCTGTAGCGAACATTGCCAACACTGGTGGCAGACCAGCCGTAGTAACACTAGTAACACAAACACTGGTGGTAGACCAGCCGTAGTGACACCAGTAACACAAACACTGGTGGTAGACCAGCCGTAGTAACACTAGTAACAAACACTGGTGGTAGACCAGCCGTAGTAACACCAGTAACACAAACACTGGTGGCAGACCAGCCGTAGTAACACCAGTAACACGAACACTGGTGGTAGACCAGCCGTAGTAACACCAGTAACACAAACACTGGTGATAGACCAGCCGTAGTAACACCAGTAACACAAACACTGGTGATAGACCAGCCGTAGTAACACCAGTAACACAAACACTGGTGGCAGACCAGCCGTAGTAACACCAGTAACACAAACACTGGTGATAGACCAGCCGTAGTAACACCAGTAACACAAACACTGGTGGCAGACCAGCCGTAGTAACACCAGTAACACAAACACTGGTGGCAGACCAGCCGTAGTAACACCAGTAACACAAACACTGGTGATAGACCAGCCGTAGTAACACCAGTAACACAAACACTGGTGGTAGACTACACTGACCAGCAAGTAACAGACTTCAACCAACACTGGAATATACACCATTAAGTTTACCCCTCACCAAGCCGTGCATATATGATACTTGTAAAGCCGGGGTTTACAGCCTGGGGTGCGTGTATCCCCCAGCTGGACACACCATAGGCTCACCAGGAGGTAAACGATATCCATCTGGGAACCAATTGCTCAGACCCAGGACACACGTACATATTTTTCTCAAACTGACTGATCAATGCATCAGTTATAATAACAAGAAATTATTAATATACAGAAACATCAGAGCATTACGCTCCACCCTTCACGACTTACGCAAAAATTTGCGTATTTTTTATTTTGACTCAACGAGTCAGGAGCGTAGGGGCTAAGTTTACCATAAACAAACTAGGAAATACACCGAAATCATCTTCGTATTTGGAAAAGTGTGATAATCGAATATGAATCTAAATTTATGCAGATGTTGTGTGTGTTGATGGACGTGTCTGGGAAGATAAGACGTCAGGCTTAAGACGGTGAGATGAGACTATACACCTGGCTGGCTAGCTGTGGGTGGTTGTAGTGGTGGGTGGTAGTTGTGGTGGGTGGTAGTTGTGGTGGGTGGTAGTTTTGGTGGGTGGTAGTTTTGGTGGGTGGTAGTTTTGGTGGGTGGTAGTTATGGTGGGTGGTAGTTGTGGTGGGTGGTAGTTTTGGTGGGTGGTAGTTGTAGTGGGTGGTAGTTGTGGTGGATGGTAGTTGTGGTGGGTGGTAGTTGTGGTGGGTGGT